TGTATTTGAAAAATAATGTGTTTTTTGAACATTAAAGCATGTCAACATATTCTGTTACACCAAATACACAAAATAATGATCTTTAAAAAAGCATCATATGACCCCTTTAAGTTAACACTGAGAAAGTGGGAGCAAATTAAGTGTAAAGGAAAATATTTTTAAAAGGAAAAATGTGTGAATGGTAATGTCTTTGAAATGTGTTCAATACAGTCTAAGCCTAAATCTAATACTATTTTAATTACACGAATCCTTTTTTTAGCGCTCTGGAGCGGTTCGGTTGTAGTGAGAAAGCAATTCGATCTAACGGGCCAACGAACCAGGCTATATCACAACTTATGATGGGTAATTACGTAAGTTCCGTGAAAAGCATCAGCTTTGTTGTTACCTCAAAATGAACCTGTGAATGTCTGTGGGTGAGCACGTCTTTGCCATTCAAAAATCAAAGCGCACTTTATTTTATAATGCCGTCTTATTGCTCTTCTTTGCAGGTGCTTTTTAAAAATGTTTTCCCGATCAATCCTGGACTCCTGCTTAAAATGATAAATTATTATAACGACAGCTACAAAAAAAACAACAACAATAAGCCCGCAAAGCTGTTGTCGTTCCATCCTGACGGATAACAGGCGTGACAGCTAGTGGAATCCCGGAAAATAAACCGTGGAACTTTGACCAATGAGAGAACAGTTTACTCGTGCGTGACTTGTATTAACAAATTTGGTCCGTTTAGAGACGTTGCCATGTGAAAGCGAACCGCTCCAAGAATAAAAAGCAACATTGTAATAATTTTAATCCCTGTTTCAGAACAAAGCAATCGATCTACAGGTGTGAAAGCACCAATGTGGGAGACAGTGTTGGGGTATGCGCTGGCTTCCATAGTTGCTTCGGGCTAAAATGAGATAAACTGGTTTAGTCTAATAAGTAGCTCGCCTCATTGCAAACTGTCACTTTATGCCAAGAAAACGGCATCTGCAAAGTCAGGTGTCCTTCCAGAGAAAATCCTGACATAACAAGCGTTCATATTTACTCGTCCTCTCCAGTGCTCTAAACATTATCAGCAACAAAAGAACAAATAAGAAACGCTGTCTGAATGAGAGAAAAAGGCCTTCACAGAAACGCAACGAGACCAGTATTGGTCATGCACACGCATAGCCCAGCACCTCTCGGTTTCTCTGGTAAATATTTAAACCATACAGAGAAAGATTTTATCTAAATTACGCCATTACGACAACATTATGAGCCGCTGAACAGAGGTGATGTAAGGGAACAAGGGATGCAAGATGATTAATGTTTGCACCAAGATGGAAATTGAACCCCATTCAGCCTGTTTTCCCAAATGTTCGTTTTCTCCAATCTCCTTTTTTTAAATTTTTTAAATAGCATAGGCTACTCGCAATTTTTTTTTAACTCTTTTTGAAAAATATGAACTGTGTATTTTGTAACTTTTGATTCCACCGTCAGCCACTAGGGGTATCCGCCTGAAGACAGCAGCACCTTCCTACCATACACCCACTAGAAAGCTGACTTCTGGACATAATTACGATCATTCTAACTGTGCATATCAGAGCTCTCTAAAATTAATAGGGATATTTCCATGTAAACGATTTTCTCACGGCTGTTATTTGAAAGCCCGTATCGTTATGTGTTAGAAGGAACCCGATGCAAAATAGTCAGTCAATTGACCGCTGAAGCCCTCTGGCGTTACAAAGCTGATCATCAGATTCACGCCAAAACCACACCAAAGCTGCATGTGTTTAGTTGCCTACGCTCACTCTAAACGTGATCTTTGAAATGGTTTATAAAAAGGCCTGGGTTACCATAATCGGGTTTCTTCAAGCAACCCCATATCTCCAAACACAGTGACACATGCATGGAATCTAAATGCTGGAACGAAATAGATTTTTCCCCAAAAACGAAACATATTATCCTTTTTTGGGAAACTTAAATTCACCACATAATAATAATCTTTAATATAGCAAACGAAACTGTAAGACAAGTGACATCTTTGTTTCCAAGCACGAGTTACACAAGGATAAATGTCTGAACACATGATACGCAATGGTCAGTTAACAGATGCAGTCCAGCTAATGACTCGCCCCTCATCTTTTAGAACATCCATAAGGGCTTATCTGAGCACTACAAAAGACCATCTGATATGTCCTTGAGGTGCCAGCAAGCGCAGGAAAAAAGTCAGGTTGCAGCATGCAAAACAACTTCTCTGGCTTTTCGGAAATTACATGGAATTGCCGAGCGTTAACATGCAGCCTAACTGCCCATGCTGATAGGATAATAATAGAAAAACAATTGCAAACGCAAACTCATATTAAGGCAATAAAAATGGCATGTTCCAACAAAGTTGGACCATTTCAGTACCCTTGTAGCCTATCTCTGACAAATTCTTTAGGTTGTTCCATGGAGCTCAATTTGTTTAGTGCACAACCCCGCCTTTGGCGCCCCAATCTTACAGACTTCTATCACATTTTTGTTGCTAGGCTAATATATGCGTGAGGTCCTTAATCAAGCGTTAAAAGGTGTTTGACGTACGTTACTGATTCTAACGTAAAGTTCTCAAGCTGCGCACTGTTGTTATGGATACCTCCTCAGATTAACGCGCTGCAACTGAAATTGTGATTCTTTCTGGTTACTAAAACAAGATGCTTTAGCAATTTTGTAACTAAATCTGTTTAATATATTCTGTTGAATCCGGGAGAGTCAACCCCGTCTCCCCATTATATCCTAACTCTATAAAGTCAATAATATCAATCAAGTGCGTTTTTAACCATCCATACTCTTTCCGTCAGGTCTCTCACTAATTATATCTAAAGCATCGTATTCCTCCACTTGTTGCGGAGACAGGCACTCAGTCTGAGTGATAAATAATTGAGAGCAGCGCGCAAGGATCGGCTTTACATTCTCACCTGCGGCTCTCCGGATCGATATCTTGTTTCAATGATAGGTTCCTGTAACCACTTAAATTGCTGGTATGAGCCTCCGCACGGTAAGTAAAGAGGATATGATTCGCTGGGATTATCAGTGGAAATTCTGCTGCATTAGGATACTTTATTTCGTGGAGTTCCGACCTGACAGAACGTGCCCCGAAGCGCGAAAGCTCCTTATGGAGAGCTTCATTATGTGGAAAATTAAGAGAACACGCATGGAGTCGTCTAATGTTAACAGCCAAACTCTGCTTCTATAAAGAGCCTGCATAAATCTAGAGTAAATTATTCTCTAAAGGCACTCCGTTTTGTTTTGAGTAATACATAAAGAATAATTAAACAACCCACTGCCTGTCATCTATAGGTGCATAGCTACAGCAAGTACAGTACATCCCTACACCTCAATGAAAAACTTTCTGGAATCTTTCCTCTAAGCAAAGTGAGACCATGAAAGGACCAATCAATTATAATAGTCGCCCTACCTGGTTGGACGATTAACTGCAACAAAACAGTAAACAGAACGCAGTGATATTCCATTGTTATAATTCCATCTAGCTCATGTGTGTTGTTAGTCTGGGAGCTCGATAATACCGCGGAACGGTCGCCAGCGGAGCGATCACTCCCGTCTTAAAGGGCCAGCGTTGTTTTCTACCGTGTACTGTGCGCGCTGGTCATGTGGAACGACGAGCGAACCTGGGCGGGGACAGGGAGGCAACATCAACAGTAATAGCGCTAGTCATACCTGAGACGCACAAACGAGGTTAAGAGTGCCACAGGGTGACACGTGGTTTGTCAGAAGAAACTATGATAACTATGGCTAAGAAAAGCGGTTATCAGTGGCCTTCAAATTCAATAAAAGCTGCCTCTAACAAGGCTGAACTGGCAATGGTAAATTCGTAACAAAAATATTTAAATTGTCACAGACTTGCATGGAATGTTATTAGAGCAGAAAAATATCAGTTGCGCTTTTCAACTGGATAAAGAAAGTTTCTAACAAGCATTTTACAAACAAATTACACATTATCTTATCTCAGAAGAGCAATAATGTTTACAGCGTGAGGTGACAGGTGACTCATTTAGGCAGGTTGTATGTCTGTTGTTTATTCCTTTTCATAAAAAACACTGATTTATTTCACTGTTGTCACTAAATGTGACAAACACATTGTGGTATTTATTAGTTTTGGAAGCAGCAAGATGAGTCTCATCTGTGCAGTCTTGCTACTTTAATTTTGCCTGAGAATGAAAGAAAGGAGACACAACTGAGTGGGTGCATATGATCATTGTTTTATGTGTTTGTTTGTCATTAATGTCCATGAGAGGCTTTATATCTCTACTAATCTGATAGGAGATCCTTTATTGTGCACAATATTTGTATTGGCTTTCTAAAACACCATTATTGTTCTTGTGTGCTTTCATTATTGCTCATTTTGTCTTAGATGCTGATTCTAACATATGACCCAAGACTTTATAATGACTGTGTCACCCCTGACCTCCCTTTCACCCATCATTTACCCCTGTTTCCTGATGATTTAGTTGTCTTTGCTGTATTCCCATTGGTTCATATAATCTTGTGATTTGTCATCATTCCAGCCTCAGAGATAAACACATTCGTTGTTTTCTTTTAAATTCAACACTGAATTGTCAAATCTGAAACTGCTGAACAAGTTCAATAAGGCAAATAAAACTGTTAGGGACGTAAAATGTATTCTAGAATGAGGATTACACCAATAACAGAACAAAACATAAAAACATGCCACATGACAAAATGTTTTAAACTAAGGATTGACAGGAAATATGTTAAACAAGAAAACTAAAAATGACACAAACAGGTTATGCGGCAAAATGAACAGAAGAAGGTTGAACAGAAGATTGTTTCAGCTGTAATACAAGAAAAAGTGTACAATCAAAATGATTGCACTTTGTGATATTACAAATATTACACTTTATATAGGACATACTGGTGAAATGCCAGACTTTGTGAGAAAAAATAAATTCGTTTATCACTAGCAATAGGGAAATAACCGAGTAACCATAACCCTTCCACATTCTGTGACAGCAAAGACCCAATAAAACTCGCTAATTGCATAATTTATATGCCATTGTAATTCAATATATTTCCATTGGTTGGCTTATACCTTTACATTTAAATTGGGTTGATAAGCAACACTACGCTAGACAGTTGCAAAGATATTTCCTAGCAAGTTAGACAACACCACACTATGTTCTCTAACATTTTCATCATGAACAACCCAAGTTAAGGTAACAACCCCAGGCTGTTTACATGTGGGTATATAGTTACTCCATACTAAACTATAGTTACCCCGCTTTATTGAAACCATAATATTTACCTTTCTTCTTCTTATACAAAAAACAAATCACATGAATCCAAGGCCATGTATGCTTGCTAAGGTAAATAAATTTTTCCTTGAACTCCCTTTCCTTTTCCTCCCTACATTTGCTTATTTATTTTTTATCAAACTGCTAATCACCTTCCTCTTTTCGTTTTCGTTTATTTTTGTCAGTCATTTGGTCTCAGGATATTAATTTTCTCTTTTCTGAACACAAACTCCTCTGCCATCCTTTCCACATGCTTTCCAGTGACGATTCTGTTTAATTTCAATATTCAGTTACTACAATTTGGTAGTCATTTTAAGCTCGAACTTGGTGAGCGGAGAAACTTCTGGACCCAACAATATCTCTGAAGTTTCTTCATGTTCATCCTTCATGCTTCATGTTGTTTCACCTAAAGCAATTTTCAGGAAAATAAGATAATGGCAGTTCCAATTGAGGTGTATTGCGGTGTCAAACAAAGCAAACATTAAGCAAAGCAGTCATTTCAGAGAATTCACATGGTCATTCCCAGGTTGCTTTTACTTGTTTTAAAGGTTTGATTGAATAAACCATAAAGAAAGTGGGTTAGATGCTGCAGGCTTTCTTAATACAACATCTCTTTCAGGATCTTCTGGCATCCAAGAGGCCGATGGCTTGTGCCTGGTCATGCTTATCAAACCTCATGAGATGACTTTAAGCTCCTGGGCTCCCTGATACATCTAATTCCCATGAACACAGTGACTGTATTTGCTTATGACTGCTGTGTTGAACTATATAAGACAAAGCCTGACAGAAAAACGAGTCCGGGGGGTTGAGGGGTAAAGGTAAACATGTGATAGGAGTATGAATTTGCCTGTAGTTACATATTGTCCATAATGTTATCATTTATTGTGAACTACTTTGCAGTTGAACAGATGTCTACAGTATATACGGTAGCTCTAAGAAACATAGAAGGAGATATTTATTTAAATGTCTAAGCTGCTTTTTTCTATTCAATGAAAGCAGTGCATTTCAAGTCATACAAGTACTTTGTGTGAAGAACAGACCAAAAGTTAAGTTATTATTCCCTGAAAATTTAAAGCAGTGGCCACCAAACACGTTATAGGCCTACTATAAATAATAAAGTCTTGCACATTTTGAAACACATGAGAAAATAATATAATAACAGAATTTCTGGAATAAATATCCCTTTGAAATGTTCAGTTCCACTTGTTTTGTTGTTTTAGTTCTAATTGTTTGCCAACACCAATTTTATCAAAGCAATAAAGGTGTTTTCCTAATAGAAGAGCAAGCTTTAGAAAGTTCTTCAAGTCATTGCCTCAAAGGCAACCATTGATCAGCTTCATCTCAGCTGTGAAAAAAGCCTGAACCTCAACCGATGATCTGCGGCTTTAGATTTGCTCTCTCAGGCTATTTTGGGACAACTCCTAAAATTTTGTTCAAGAGCACACTTCTGTTTAAAATGAACTAACATAGCCTACAGCAAGGTTAAAGAGCACCTGTTTCAAAAGCCAAATGAGTGTCTGTATTTGTTGGAAACACACTTTATTTTTGGCCTGCAAGATGTATTATGTGAAAAGTCTGCAAAGAGGTGCAGTTAAAAAGTGCATACAGTATTTATCTTCCTCTCCATCTCTCTCAGCCATTTCAAGGTTTATTAGCTCTACAAGTATGCTTTTAATGTCAAACCACCCGTAATTGATTATTAATATTATTAGACAAATATTGTGCACATAAAATATGTAAAACTGATAGTTGACTCTTAATTCTACAGTGACCCTAAAGTGACATCTGCAGAAAAACGTGGAACGAGTAGTTGAATAAGAATGGAAATAAATAAAGCTTTACTTACTTGCGAGAAAACTATGTGAGCATAAGAAACAGAGAGTGGGTGGAAGATATTTCACATGAGCCCTAGTAAACTATATACATTAAAAGGAGACGCCACACACAGACATTTCTCTCGCTCATGCATTTCACACACACAAATAGTTCAATTTTTTTCGGACGAGCTGCATCAGAAACAGGTGTTATACCAGTACTGGGTGTACATTACATTACTACATTGCTTGGCAAACGATTTGTCATTTTCTACAAAAAAAAAAGATATATATACGTCTTGCACTAGCTCTGCATGCATTACATAATCACATTGGAAAGGTCACGCGTGGTTAGTTCTTCGTCTGTTTACTTCAGTTCAAAAAGGTAGGGTATAGGGGACGAAAAACTCCATATCATTTGCTTCTCCAACTACAAAATCATCCGTCATTGTTGTTTTACCTTTTTTTGTAAAGGGCATTTGACTTTCTTCATTTTTTTTTTAGAAAATGACCGATCATTTCGCTAGATAAGACCTTTATTTTCTCGACTGGGATCGTGTAGAGCCCTTTGAAGCTGCATCGAAACTACAATTTGGACCTTCATCCCATTGACTCCCATTGAAGTCCACTATATGGAGAAAAATCCTGGAATGTTTTTCTCAAAAACCTTAATTTCTTTTCAGCTGAAGAAAGAAAGACATGAACATCTTGGATCACATGGGGGTGAGTAAATTAACAGGAAATTGTTATTCTGGAAGTGAACTAATCCTTTAATTATAATGTATTATACATTATTTTATATAAGATAATTACACATAAGTTTATATAAGAATCCACTCTTGTCTGTACATTGTTATTTTTTCATTTTCTTGTATAATTACTGTAACAACATCTCATGGCTTATTGCTACACACAGACAGATCACAATCTAACATTCTCTCTAAATGAATAAAGATATATCATAAAGAATGATTTGTTTTCATAATATTAATTCCAGCTGTATCCATTTTTAATTAATTAAATGATAACCATCCACCTCTAATCAGTTCCAACAGTGCAGGTCTCACTTCATGTCTCCCTCTCACGAATAGCCAATAAATGGGGTCAGGTGGTTAGCCTCAAGTGGAACATGATCTCCATCTAAATTAAATCAGATCACTTCAAACTATTAACCTCCTCAGAATGTCCCATAAATATTCGCTCATAACACCACTCATTGATCCACCACCCAAACACTCCTCAAATCACTTACAACAATCAGACACTCAAAGTACAACATGTACAGCCAAGGGGAAGTGTTTATTCTGTTTAGGTAACAGTGATCTGTCATATCAACATCAGGCCTTCAGGTGCACTTGCATACATTGCGGATAATGTTTCATGATAAACGGCGCCATCCTTTAAGATCCATTAAAGACAACATTTAAGTGGCATCACAAGAGAGTGCAATAAAACATTTAACAGACAACTTCCTTGTCCGAT